TTCCGATTCTGTGCATGTGAGAGGTTAAACCGCAGCAAAATCCAAAACGTATGGAACAGAAGCTGCTTACATAAACTTAGATCGATTCTGTGACGGATTCAAGCAATGTTGTGAGCAATCCTCTTGGACTTTCCGCAATTAATATCACATCTTAAGTGCAAAGAAAAATTGATATCCTTGGATCTATTTTTTTTTTAAAAAAAAAAAAAACGAATAGGTTCGAATCGTTTCCGTTCACAATAATTGTGTCAGTTTTCTTATGCACAAGGTGCACCACCCTCTTTGACGACATCAAGAGCTGCATCTTATTTCACATGCACGACCTTACAACCAGTGGGTTCGAGGCGTGTGCTGATGATTTGGATAAGTTTACTTTTAGTGACTGAATTTGTCAAAATTTACCTCTTTTTTACCAACAAAAGATAGATTTGGTGAGAAATTGATTGAAGGCGCGTATCTGAATTTTTGGCTTCTTTTAAGGCGAGTGGAGTCTTTCATAAATGGTCCATTTCCTTGGCACCCGTCAAATACTGCCGTGGCTTCAGATTACTTAGAAAAAAGAATTTAGCGTAGAACAGTACGATGATTTGAATTTATGAATTCAAATAATATAGGTTTGCCCTTGTTTTCATGGCCCTCGGTGGAGTGAAGACCCACCATCTAAAACGTACTGAACTCTTACTTCATTATCCCAGTACTTACTGCAGGTATTTCAGATTTTTCATCCTCTGTGTCTAAGGCATCTGAACTTGAATTCTGAGTTATTGTGCACTAATCAGCGAGACACCTTACCTACCATTTATGATTTCTCGACTATGATGGTCACCATCATGCATGTCACGCCTCATTTTTGTGTAAAATTAGTGTTTCAAATGTCATTCAGACTCCTTGACTAAAAATACGTGGAATTTGATAGCCAACCTGCCTTCTAGCGTGATTGTTGTTTTTTTGGATCACCTTCCTGCTTTCAAATTTGGCCGCCATCGTGGATTTGGGGCACCCTCTTTGACGGGGGGGCTCTTAGAACTTCATAAATGAAATCTACGATCAAAATTACAAAAAAAATGATACCTCACTTGCCATGTCACGTAAACATTTCAAAAATCCACCCTCCTGCCTTTCAAATGTAGCCGCCATCTTGAAATTTGGAGCTGCCCCCTTGAACCGGGGGGTATTTATGACTCCATAAATGAAATCTACGACCAAAATTACATAGGGAATGATACCTCACATGAAACTGTATGCGCATTTTAAAAATTCACCCTCCTGCCTTTCAAAATTGGCCGCCATCTTGGATTTGGGGCACCCCCTTTGACCGGGGGACTTTTTTGACCTCATATCTGAATTCTACGACCAAAATTACATAGTGATTGATACCTCACATGAAACTATATGCGCTTTTTAAAAAACCGAAATCCCAGAGGCCTTGTTGTGGCCGCCATTTTGAAATTTAGGCATTTGGGGGAGTGTTCCGGGGTCGGACCGTGGTAAACTTTTGGTATGTTGTTCAGGAGGACCTACTGATGACGTTTACATAGGAAAAGTTTGTTAAGCAATTTGTTCCGGGTTAACCTCCTTTTTTTCGTATTTCTCCTTGACTACCTCCTCCCCCTCCCCCTCTCCGCACTCCCAACTTCCCATCTCATCTTGACCCCCCTCCCCCCTCGTGCGCCGCCTGGGCGCGTGAGTGTAGCTGCTTCAAAATGCGCCGCGAATATATAAAATGGAATGAATGGATGAGACAAAAATAAAATGTGGAGACAAAGTTGAAACTAGTGTAGCTCAATGTATTAAGTGCAATGTATTTTCGGAAGATCAGGTTAAAAAGTTTTTCTCTGGTTTTTCAGTTTAGCAAAGCTGTCAACCAGAGTATCAACGTTTAAATTGATTATCAAGTCTGCCTCGATGTTTAAAATTGCCGTGTTGTTTAGTATCACTCCAATGAACGATCATCCTAGCGCTCAAGGCCGGACCTAAGGGGCGGCAGCTTTGCCGCTCCCGTCAAGCGTCAACTCCCTTCCTTCATACATTTTGCCGCTCATCTTTTCACTTCGCTCCGTCTCTGTCTCCATTTTTTCCTTTTTTCTCGCTTTAACTTTCAATTAATCCAGTGCCAAAATTTGCCGCCCCTCAAAATTTGCCGCTATGGGCAAGTGCCCCAGTGCCCTATAGGTAAATCCGGCCCTGTTTCCACGTTACCGAGTTGCTGTGTTTTTGGTCTTACTGATTCAACTGAAATCGCTGGACTAACAAGGAGGGGAAACTTCGTAAGACTTAGACACTCAAAAGAAGCTTTGAATTTTGACTGGTGAAGCTAAAACGTGAGGTGCTCAATCTAGGTAAACTTATCAAATGCCATTTGGTTCTTCTGTTCACAAGACGCCATTTAATGGTACGATTGACCTCCCAAGATCATTTAGCTTTCAGCAGAAATGTTGCATATTCATACGTAAACACCCAGGTCATCAGATAGTTTAAACAGATACTTATAGTGTCAATCATCTAGCGTCAGATAGTTCCATTTCTTAACAGGTTTCAACAGTTTACGTCCACAATGCACCATGAGCACTAAGTAGAATAGTCCCTTGAAACTAACCTACTGATGGAGATATTAAATTTACAGGTGGAATTTCAACATTGATAGACTTATATAGAACTTATAGAAGAGCACAACTGGATTTACCCTTAATTAATAATAGAGGAGAACAAACAATTTACAAATATGATCCTTCCTGCTCTGGACAAATGATATAAATTGTATATATCGTGTCTTTAATTCTACAGCTTTGAATTTTGAAGGTTAACCAAGCAGAGAAATACCTTCTTGCTACCTAGAGTTTACTTGAATACTTGTTAATTGAGTGCACAAGGGAGCAAACCTTCAAACAAGCTGTGACCGATAATTTTGCGATAGAACCAAATTTTTAAACTTCCTCGGTGGGCAATTCTTTAAGCAAGACATTAAAGTGTGGAGGCTAGTAATGAGATAACAGAGGTAAAATTAAATTTATTTACTAGGACACACATAAACACTGGATTGGTATCAAATCGTTAGAGGAGAATAAAGGAAACTGAATGTTAGAACAAACCATAGATAGGTCGTAATCTTCTTTCTGCGACTGAGTTGCCTTCATGAAGTTTGTTGGCCATTTTCCCCAGTTATAAAGTTCACCTGAAAGTCCTTTTCTTCACGGTGAAATGTTGTACAGCACAAAATGCTGGACCCAGAAATATTCGCAGAAAGTACTTGTGCACTATGCACACATAATAACTGAAGGCGATAGAGAAGATCTGAAAACATGAATATACTACTGCTATAAATGTTTACACAATTCATTGGTTTACTTTTACTTACAACATCATTGAAAAAAAAATAGATCGCGTTTAGATGCGTTGTTAAAGTCCACAACTGCCCAACGAAAATTACCCGCTGAGCGTTGAGCTCAACGAAAGCGTTGGTAAATTCTGGTGGATTTACCCGTTTTCCAAGATGGCTGCTCAGCAAACTGCCCAACAGCTCAGCGAGGTTCTCGGCTGCTGTGGACCGCTGCAACACCAACTAACAACATACCATCCAGCGATGAGGAAAAATATTGGAGGTTAGGACGAGTTAGTCAAAAACATCGGCCTTTCGGGTAAGCGTCGTCGGTTGAATTTCCTCGATTTTTTTAAAGTTTTTTTCTATTATAGTAACATTTTAGGTTTAAAATATTCTATTAGAATGTCGAGCGCGTTACAGAGCACTATATCGTACATAATTCAGCTCGGATTTANTTGACCGCTGCCGAGTTTGCTGGATTGTTGTAATGTTATTGTTTACATCCATAACCGCCATTTTTTCGCACTTCTTCGCCACATGTTCGTCACCAGACTGACTTGGAATTGCTTATAATCGTTTATTGCGTCAATCTCGTAGTAATGTGGGTGTTAATAAGATTTTTAAATGTTAAAAATCTTAAATTTCAACAAAACTTAACCTCCAAATCCGCAGAATCCTACGGGAATTTAGCAACGTTGAGATGACGTCAATCCTGCTAAGATTCGGCCATTTTTGTTGGGCAGCAAAAGTAATTTAACAACGCACCTTTTGCATCTTGAGGATTGTTTACCCTGTGACGTAGGTTGGTACAACAGGTACAACCTGACCAGCAAAGTCCGGAATTATGGATATATATGGAAATATGAAAAACGGGCCATAACGTCCGATTTTTTTGCTACAAGCAACTCATGATGTAATTTCAAACACTTTTGACAGAATGACTTTTTATCCATAAACCACTCCATTTCCAAGAAAATCAATAATGATAAAACTCGTCCGTACCGACCTACGTCATCAAAAAATTCAAGATGCCCGAGCATAGACCAAGAGAATAATTAAGGACCTCCAACTCCCAATTTAAAGCTGTGTTAAAAACCGTTACTGCACGACTGCAGCGAACCTGTCAGAGGGTGCGGTGAACAAACGCCACAAACACTACGGAGCGGCAGAGATGGAAAATTTCATGAAATTTATCCGAGTGAAATTTCATGAAATTTATTGAAACTTTTGGGGATAGATTCAGAGGCTGATGCAGCAATCAGACGTGGAATTTAGCACCTGAATGTGGAAGTCAACAGTCATCGCCCAACGGCTGAAATTTAGCAAATTCGAGTTATTTTCATCCAGATGTGTATCAAATCTACTCGAGTGGTTCAGAAAAATTCAAAATTGGTCCGATGGTTGCTGAATTTTGCGCGTCACGCGCAAAATTCAGGCATCGGGCCGATGATAGGGTGGACCGTTTTTGAATTTTTTTCGAAATTCCAAGACGGCTAGTGCTAAAAAGTTGTGTTTTGGCATAAAAATAACGCTCAATTTTTTTCAGAATTTTTGGATGATGTCCTGAGCCCGTCCCGACGCCATCTTTGTTGCCAAATTTTCGATTTTTTCGAGAAATTTTAAAGACTCTGTTTAAGGCCCGGGAAACGCGTAGAATTAATCAAATTTCAATTTAAAATACTTTAAATGTCATTTCAAGCGATACAGGTCAGGATAGGACACCCCCAACGCGCAGAGAATGCCTTAGGGGACGCAATCATGGACCCCGAAATCCCTTAAAAATGCGCTTAAATACTACCTATATTTTATGTTAATTTTCATTGATTCTATTTTGCTCATACTTTGTGTTATGACTAACAAAACTTATCAGTAGACTATGTCCTACTATTTTACGGCTTACGATGTGGAATTAGGGTGCAAAGGAGTGCTACAGGGATGCCATATCCCTCAGTAATGAAAAAATAACCACCGGGCTAGAATAGGCCTCTGATCCGTGGATATCACTGGAGTAATGTTCCTGTCACCTGAACTGAGTACTTCTTAGTACAGTATGCTCAGACTGATGGTAAGATATAATACAATTCAACACATAAGTAGTTCATCTGGCAGCAGTGGGTGGCGGTTTCCATGCGCTTCGCGGATCGGAGGGTGGGTCACGGTGCCGGTTTTTTAAGGCGCTGAGCGCAGAAAAATTATTGTATTTGACAGTTTTTCATCAACCCCAAAACAGGTGTGCCGAGATTGAGGAGGCTAATGTATCTCACATTGTGTAAGCAAATAATATACAATAGTTTTTTTAAGGTGATTCGTCAAGCTCAAGTGACGTGGTCGAACTGGCATGCGATATATCGCATCTTTTAGGTAAAAAATTTCGGCAGATTTTGAATTTTCAGCAAAAAAAAGGACGATAGCCCCTGCGCATGAGCCTAAAGAATCATTGTAAACCCAAAAATCTGCAAAATTCAGAGAAATGAAAGCAGGATAGTGTTTGGAAAAAAACCTCGCATTCGATACAGAAATCGATAGCTGAATCGAATGCGAGGTTTTCTTCCAAACACTATCCTGCTTTCATTTCTCTGAATTTTGCAGATTTTTGGGTTTAAAATGATTCTTTAGGCTCATGCGCAGGGGCTATCGTCCTCTTTTTTGCTGAAAATTCAAAATCTGCGGAGATTCTTGACCTAAAAGATGCGATATATCGCATGCCAGTTCGACCACTTCTTTTGAGCTTGACGAATCACCTTAAGTCCTTAAAAACTGTTTTTGACAATTTACACTGTTGCCATAAGCACTCAAATACAGAACAAAAAATACACTAATTTTCTCCCGGACTCGAGTAAATTTGGCAACAGTGTAAATTGTCAAAAATAGTTCTTAAGGGCTAAAAACATCTATTATTTTCTTACACGTTGTGAGATATATTAGTCTCCACTACCTCGGAGGACCTCCTTTGAGGTTGATGAAATACTGTCAAATACGATAAGTTTGCTGGGCGCAGCGCCTCAAAACTAACTGTGCCTTAATCCACCCTACCCCGACCCCTGAGTCAAAAATGAAATTTTCTCGTTTAAAATAGGCTACAGGGTGTCAAGACCGAGGACATGCCTAGGTTTGGAATAATTTGGACGCATTTTATAGCCGGAAAACGCAGTTCCGCGGATCGACCCATTTTCTTCCCATTTAAACCAATGTGATTTCTTCCGAAATTTTAATACAGCTTTGGGGGAATATATAGACTTCAGATAATATGCTGAGACAACAGAATTATCTTTTGGGGACAAAAAGGAATGAGAAAAAGCCCGGGGAGCAAGGTTTTGAGATGGTCGCCTTAAAACGGAACACCCTCTGAGGGTAGTTAACTTCGTTCCTCCAGGATCCGCGAAACGCATGGAAACCGCCACCCACTGCTGCCAGATTGAACTACTAATGTGTTGAATTGTATTATATCTTACCATCAGTCTGAGCATACTGTACTAAGAAGTACTCAGTTCAGGTGACAGGAACATTACTCCAGTGATATCCACGGATCAGAGGCCTATTCTAGCCCGGTGGTTATTTTTTCATTACTGAGGGATATGGCATCCCTGTAGCACTCCTTTGCACCCTAATTCCACATCGTAAGCCGTAAAATAGTAGGACATAGTCTACTGATAAGTTTTGTTAGTCATAACACAAAGTATGAGCAAAATAGAATCAATGAAAATTAACATAAAATATAGGTAGTATTTAAGCGCATTTTTAAGGGATTTCGGGGTCCATGATTGCGTCCCCTAAGGCATTCTCTGCGCGTTGGGGGTGTCCTACCCTGACCTGTATCGCTTGAAATGACATTTAAAGTATTTTAAATTGAAATTTGATTAATTCTACGCGTTTCCCGGGCCTTAAACAGAGTCTTTAAAATTTCTCGAAAAAATCGAAAATTTGGCAACAAAGATGGCGTCGGGACGGGCTCAGGACATCATCCAAAAATTCTGAAAAAAATTGAGCGTTATTTTTATGCCAAAACACAACTTTTTAGCACTAGCCGTCTTGGAATTTCGAAAAAAGTTCAAAAACGGTCTACCCTAGGCCGATGACTTCCACATTATTACTCTTTTACTTATCCCGTGTCCGTGTATGCTCCACAATTTTTCCACAATATACAAGCGGAGGCTTCATCTTCACTAGAAAAGCCTTTACTGACTCTCTGAGCAACAGTTGGAAAAATGACAGTGGATGTTTAAGGTTTATCTACAGCTGCGTGAAGTAAGAAATTTCTCCGCGCAGGGGGCGCCACCGCTGTGTTTTAGAGTCCGTACAGCTCCTCGTGAGTCCTTGAGCTTTTATAAAAGTTGAAGGAATTTCTGTTTAAATTGAAGAGTTATAAGTTCTAGCCATAACATTCTTCTTCCTATTGACCCTAAAAACAACGTGAAAAGTCATTTCTGAAGCTCTGCAATTTGATCCCAGAAAAAAGTAGGGTTAAGCATGATGACCTTGATGCAACCAATCGCGCTTGATCGCTCTCAGCAGTTAGCAGATATCTCTCTCCCACCGTGAGCTGTCTCTCTCGCACTTACAGATATCCCGTAAGAGAAACTGGGATCAATTTACAGCTTTTATTATTAGACATTCAAAGCTCGCGTTTGTTTCTAAGGATTCCAGACGTATGCTGCTAGAACTTATGAGTCTTAGAATTTAAGATACCTATTGTGATATTTAAATAATCACTGATTTCGGAGTCGGATTTTAGCAGCGCGACGTGGTGGATTTTTTCGGAACTACAGCTGAAGATTAACCTTAATCATTAGCTATGTTTATGCGAGCCTCTTAACCTAACTTCAATCGAAACCTGAGTTTGAAACGAGTCGAGTGTTCAGCAGAGATTCACTCCTGAATTCCGAAGGCAGGACTTAAGGCCTCGATAGACGATCAAATTCCGAACCAATTCCGATCAAAGGATGACTGGTGGTCACCATCTACCATCAAATTTTGACGGGCCGCACTTTTTTGATCAAAGTAAGAACAGACCGGAGTGCCACCATTCATCATTTCCTGCCATAGGAAACATTTCTGTCAAGTTTTCATTTTAAAATGAAGCAAATTAATGAATTTCAGACTGGTGACTCCCGACACTTTGATGCTACTTTGATCGGAATTGGTTCGGGAATTTGATCGTCTATCGAGGCCTTTACAAAAAATCCTGCCGAATTTCCATCGCAAACTGTCTGGTGCGCAGTCGGGAGCATCGAT